TTTTACTTTGCATCGTTTCTTGGTCTATATTGCTTAAAGGTTGTTCTCTTTTTATACTTATATTTTTATATTTTTTTTAACCATGATATTGGCCTTTTTTAATTTTTTTATTAATAATTGATTTAAAGATGATTAGGTATATATAGAAAAAGTCTTTCACTAATAGAGTCATTATCATAAAAGTTAATACCACTTTTGGTTAGTACTATAGTCATGTGGGTATAATAAGAAACTATCTGAAATTGATGAAAAATTTCAATGTTATTTCTATAACGTTGATGTTCCTAATTCAACTCCAAGATAATTAGTAATTATATTTTTTATATTTGATACATAAAAAATTATTATTCAATGATGATAATAAAAGTATTTTAATTATTATATTATATTTATAATTGTAGAATTTACATTTTTTATAGGTACAAGTTGAATATTAAAGTATATAATAATTTTAAAAGGGTGATATTTGTACAGTTCAATATAGAAGTTAAGGATATAATTAATAGAGATATTGACACTCTTATAAAAAATATGTTAAGTTATTAAGTTAAAAATTATTTTAATATTATTTAATATTCAAATTAATTGAATGATATATTTACACTTATGATTTAAGAAAATAAATAATATAATGTCCAAGAGATATTTGAAAATCTCATGAATAAAATTTGTATGTTAAAGATGATGGCAATCAAGTATAATCTTGAAACAAGTAGTATCAAACTTACAGTAAATAATGTGTATGATTTTGATCATAATCTTGAATGTCAAAAATTATTGGAAGAGATATGTATAAACTTATTATAATTATTATGTTTGTTATAAAATTATATAATCTATATTATAACTCAATTATTATCAAATTACATATTACTATTTTATCCATCTATTGACCTCTATCTGTGAAATCTATCGGCTCATCAAGTAAAATGATACATATTTCAAAAATAACAAGAAATATTAGAAAATCAATTACTGTATCATTGCTTCAACAACAACTTATAAAAAAATCTCTCATGAAAAAATTTGTATGCGAGATTAATTTTAATAATGAAATTTTTAATTTTTTAAAATTAAAAATATTATTATCTTTTATTTAGAAATTATTTAAATTTAATAAATTATAGTTTTATTTTTTTTTAAACTGATGATAATTATATAATTAAATTTAATATATAATTAATTTATTTTATTATATTAAATATATAAATTTAAATAAAAATAATTATACAAATTATAAGTTGTTCATAAACTTCATAACTTATATTATCATTTAAAAAATATTATATTTATATAAAATTTATTGATATATGAATATATTTTTATGCATCAGTTTAAATCTAATTGATTATTGAAATAATAAAAAGGAAAGGAGGCATAAAGTTTCTCACTTCGTGATCACCGACAAACCGCTCCATATGAAATGATGGGCTAAATACCATGGCATTTGCCTCTATGTCCCTCAACTGGACGTCCATTTTAGAAAACGCAGCCATAGCCCATAAGCACAAAGCATGTCGAGTGTCGGCATCCTAATGTGGAAGGTAGGACGTAGCTTCAAACAACCCATATGGAATAGAACGTTCTTGCTTCAATGTATTGGGACCACCATCAAATAATTTTACTCCCTTGAATCTGCTTGCTTGCAATTTGTTACCATTTCGTCTTTGGACTCAATAGAACTCACACAACATTTTGTTTTCTTTAAATCAGAAAATAATGGATACATCCACGAGCTAAGTTTGATTCCTCTTCTTACTATAATTCAATTATAGCTCCAACTAGTACCGACATGAGAAAGTGAGGTTGGTGGTGACTGGGGACTGACATTTCACATTGGTGTCTTTCTCATGCAGAGGCTCAGTGCTAGGTCATCACCTCCCATATGGAGCGCAGGCATGATGCTTCTAATTGAAAGTCAAGTCCCAAAAAATAGCCAGGGAGAAGAGAAGAAAGAGAAGAGATCCAGGAGAATCCAAGTGGGGTAGGCCCATCATTTGCTTTGGGAAAAGTCGGTGCCTTGATCATGCTCTCATCTAATGGATGTCCATAAGGATTATGTTGAACTGACTAGATTGTCTCTTGTCCCATTACCAACTTGTTCCATAAATAGCTCTCATCAAACCCTTTGAAATACCCTCCCATGCCACATTGCCCATAAAAGAAAAAAGTAATAATATTTGAATTTCTTGTTTACCTTGGTGTTGATCAACATCATGTTACTACTTAAAGGGTGATCACGTTTAAGATTGCACCGAATATAATTGATATTAATGATTTATCTTTTATACACGAACACACACATGAAACATGGGAGTTTTCTACATTTTTCACCTTTAATCTTGTCTCATTTTCTTTTTTATAAACAACAATCCTTTTGTGTTAATGATGTTTAATTGAGAGTAGCAACACTAATAAAAAAATTGTTTCATGTGTCATGCATTAATGACCAATCTTGCACACTTTAAATAGAAGTGAAAAAGTTGAGATTCCAATAATAATGCTAGAACTGTCGCAAGTGATAACGTAAATTGCAATCAACAAAACAAGTTGTAGTAGAAATGCAGACAAAAGTGATGGCTTCCTTGATATGGACGGTTGGTATGGAGGAAAGAAAAGAGGTGCCTAGAAAAGCCAAACAAAGAGCACAACTCCTCACTACCACTGGTCAGCTAAGTCTTAAAGGCCGGAACACATCTGAAACCTTATCCCCAACACCACCACCCCTCCCTTCTCGATCCCCCTCTATCATTGCCTACATCCTTTTAGAATCGAATTCTCTATCATGCCAAATCATTTGTGGGATCCACTTTGTCTATCCTTTGCCGCCAATACTACGTGTCATTCCTCTCCTCTCGACATGTGGATTCCCAAAAAAAAAAAAAATCACCCCCTGTTTGTGTTCTTGTGTCATGTGTGAACCAAGCACAAGTAGTAGTGATGAACTAAGCATCCTTTGTTTTTAAGCAACTTTATTTTTAACCTTCCCTTTGTTGTTTTGGTTAAATGTTTGATTAAAAATATGTAATATATTTCACTCCTTCACTGTTTCAAAGTCAATGTCTATCTATCCGCACTAGGACAGAAACTTGGCTATGAAGGCTTGGATAATTCTATATCCTAATGCCTGCTAAAATGCTTTTCATGACCTAATGATCTGAAAAAATATATATACTTTTGACGTTTTACGTCCAAGTTTAATTTTATATGAATTTTATTAAATTTTATATTAAATTTATTTAGTTATATTTTAATTTGTTAATTAATTATTTAATAATTTTTATTAATATAATACTTAATTATAAATATAATTTCTCTTATATTTATAATTTAAAAAAATCATTAACTCTTGGTAATATTTGCTTTATAAATTCAACATCATTGACAAATTTTCACCCAATTGACCCACAAATGCATGCATTGAACTTATAAATCCGTCGGTGGATTAATCGTACCATACCATTAATTTTATCCTTTCCCCATCACCTGTTTATTACATATAAAACAAAGATGCTTTCCAACTTTCATGAGTTTATTCTTCTAAGTGTGAAATATAATTTTTTTTTTTTTTTTTGTAAGAGTATTCGAACCGTTCCTTTTTTTATTTAAGGATAATATGTATTATTAAAGGAAATCTTAATTCTTACACTTTAGTTTTGGCACATTTTAGATTAATAACATGTGATAATGATATAAGTTTTCTTCAAAATATCTTTATGTCAATTCTAGAAACTCTTCATATGAGAGATACAATTCAAGACGTAATTAATTAATAGGGGTTGGGCAAAAACCTATAGCTCATTATTTCGTTTTCATTTGAAAAAAAAAGCATATTAAAAATAAAAATTCACGTCATTAATTACATCTCGAATCTAAAACGATATGATATTTATGAACCAAAAGTAATTTTATGATTGAAAACACATATATGTGAAAATTACATGAATAATTAGTTCGAGACTATACTTTAACTTTCATTGCCACGTTTATGGTAAGGAATTGTATCGGCTCGGGTACTATCATATCATCTTTGAAATGTATAACATGGAATCTCGATTCATCCATCCATGTCAAATGTTCAATAATGTGCTCATCTCTTTCTTTCTCTTCCTTCAAGAATTGTGTGAAAGTGCTAGGTCATATATATCATTTTCTCAGCGCAACAATTATTTGAACATGTGCAGGATCAACCCAAGGAAAGTTACATTTGAAAGCATGGACAGTTCACAGCAAAGCCTTGTTTTACCGATTTACAATAATCATGACCTTCTTTATATATTGGTTTTTGTATATTTTGCTAGGTTCAATTGCAATCGAATGACATCAAAAAAAATTTTCAGCTTATTTCAAATTTTTTTATTCCGGCATCTCATTATTGACTCTTATCTTTCAGTTCTCTCGGTTGAACGTCGTCCTAAACAATTACCACAACAGACTTTAGCCTCAACATTTACCGTCTCAAGTTGTCTGCTGTTGTTGGCTGCTTGTGTCCTCTGGTAGGAATTAAGTTAAGGTGATGTCCCGCAAGAATATTTGGATTTTGGGCAAGTTTACAAGAGTCTCTTTCTTGTTGGAGAAGTAAGGCATGTAATAACGGGGGACATTTTGGTGGTCTGCGACTAGGTATACATAGAAACACACAGCTGATGATTGGTCTCCATCTAATTCTATTATGAAACGTTGTCTCCTCTGATTTACCTCACTAAAATCAACATCATTGCCTGTAATTGACAATAATTGTTTAGCTATTTGTCTCCTCCTTTAATTAGCATGAAAGTTACTATATCAAAGTGTCTAAATTAAGTGAACTCAAGACTTTGTTTAAATGATTCGTAGAGTTATCTTTAAAAAATAATATTTAATATATTTAGAATTTGAATCCAGTATCTGTAACTTATTTCTCTACAAAAAAAATTGTGACCTCTTGTTAAAAAAATGTCTAAAGGTGCGAATTTAAATGAAAATCAAAAGGTTCAAAAAGAAAAAAGAACGGTAAAAGAGTGGAATTATTCTCTTTTATGTGCTCTTTTGTACATCTCCACTTTCCATGTGATTCCATGCAGGCAATCCATTTCTATGCACTTGATACACTGTATTCTTGGCTCTTGGAGGGACAGAACGAGAGGGAAAGAGAGTTTTGGTTCCGAAAGGTTAACCTATGAGGATAAAGAGAGATGGGAATTTTCATCATTCACAACCAGATTCGTTAGTCTACTCATTTTCTTTGATTAATAATTCGTCCCAGGTCCCTGCTTCCCTTAACAAGTTCCCCTAATTAACACTCCTTCACCTCCTTCATTTCTCTCTAAGAATACCCTTTTTTTCTCCTCCTTAGCATCAAGATTCTCTGCTAGTTAGCAGCTTTGGGCAACATTTAGTTTTAACCACAATGGGATTTGATGATCTTTGTAACACTGGCCTTGGTCTTGGTCTTGGTCTTGGTCTAGGTCTAGGCTGCCTTGTCAACCAAGAAAACTTTTCGCAGTCCCAACACCAACAAAAGAAGAAGAAATTGTTCCTGAAACATGATCACATCTTTCCGTCTCTTACATTAGGTCCATCTGTTGATATATACCAATCTGCTAAAAAGATTGATGCCAGAAAAGTACATGGCGAGTCGAATGATTTGCACCAACAAGCCTCTTCTCTCAGTGCAGTATCTTCATTTTCTAACTCTAGTGTCAAGAAGGAGAAGGATTTTGGTGGTGAAGAGGTAGAATTGGAGAGAGTTTCTTCAAGGATCAGTGATGAAGATGAAGAAGGCAGCCCCAGAAAGAAACTTAGGCTTACCAAAGAACAATCTGCCATTTTAGAAGACAGCTTCAAACAACACAGCACTCTCAATCCTGTACACCATCTTCCTTTATTTCTCTTCTATTTAATGTTTATACACTTATATATATCTGCATATACGAGTTCTATTCTCTTATTTGGTGTTACCTTTTGTGTTAAAAGAAACAGAAGCAAGCTTTAGCAGAACAGCTCAATCTAAGGCCACGGCAAGTGGAAGTATGGTTCCAAAATAGGAGAGCCAGGTTTCTTCACTGACCATATATGTCTTGGTGGAGTTTGTACTTGATCTTGTTATGGTTGAGTTTTTTTCCCCTTATTTTTTATTCTCTTTTTCCTTCCTTTACACAGGACAAAGCTGAAACAGACCGAAGTAGATTGTGAGTTGCTGAAGAAATGTTGTGAAACACTAACAGAAGAGAACAAGAGGCTGCAAAAGGAACTGCAAGAGCTTAAATCATTGAAACTGACAGCATCCTATTATATGCAGCTGCCTGCAGCCACCCTCACCATGTGCCCTTCCTGTGAGAGGATTGCCAATGGCGGTGAAGACTCTTCGACGTCCAGCCCTTTTACAATAGGACAAAAATCTCACTTCTTGAATCGCTTCACTCACTCATCTACAGCCTGCTAGACAACTTGTTGAGGCCATAGAACAGTTCTAGTTTTGTTCAAGGCTTTTGTGTCAAATATAATATATATTTCCTTTACAAATTAAATATTTGTACATACTTGGCAAAAAAATGAGAAGATTTTGTTCTTCTCATCTGTTTGAAAAATTAATTAATTACTATCCTTAATGATTTTGATTCATTTAGTGAAGCTAGACTACATTGTAAGAGGCATTGAGAAATGGAGAATTATTTCCTTTTCAACAGATTAATGGTGCTGTAATTTATTGGTTGGTATTTTCTTAAATGTTACACATTCTGTGTCTTTTTTTCCTTCTGGACTGCTTTGCCATATGTATATAGTATCTGTTGAAATATACCATTGATCCACCTTGCAATTCCTTAGTTGATAGCAACCACCTATCGGCTAAAAATTAGCTTTGCTATAGCTTTTGGTCAGGAAGAAATTAACGTATTGGTTGAAAGGCAACTCACTAGAAATTGCCTCAAGTTGCTTAATGAACAAGAAAGAGAAACAAAGAGGAATGCAAGGACCCATCATTTTTGCTCTTAAAGTAAGAGGAATTTCGATAGAAGGATTTGAACTAAACCCTTCGAATTAATATATATATATATATATATATATTCATTAAAAATCAAATGCCCAGGTGTAAAGTTTAATTTTGGATATATATAACCTGATCTGAATGAAAATGTATAGATGATAAATGTATAATATAATGTTTTTATCTAAAAGATAAAGATACATAACATAATGTCAATAATGTGATAAGAATTATATATTAATCATTAATTTCACAACGAAGTAGTGATACAGGTGGACATACATCCATTTCATATGTATGATAAAGAAAACCGTAAGGAAATGTTAAAGATTATTAGAGATGAGATAACGTTGCAAAGGTTTTAAACGTAAATGACATGTATGAATAAGAGAAAGAGAGATGCACAGAAAGCTACGTTTAAACTAAAATAATTAAGATCTGATGAAGTCGATAATCATGTGTTTTATAATTGATTATTTAAGTAAAATTTGACTTCGGCTTTCTTGGATTGTTTTAAATGGTTAGTGTCAAATATTCATTAATTGGGTTTTTTAAGCTTATCTCCACTTATCTTAAAGCTGCCAATAGGACATTCATGTTGGACAAGACTGCGGTTTTTGACATTCAAACAATATGGTGGTGAATTATCATCATCATGATAATAAGAAGATTGATTTTCTTGCTGTTTTCTTACCGTGTATGTTGATTAAGTTGGGGGACTTTGGGGGTTTCCATGGTTGCTAACGTGTTGCTTAAGTTTTCAATGTATTATTTTACTAATTCGAAGACAGAGACCTATGAAGTTTTGTTCGACATGTTTGATATTGTCTTTCAATTACTTTTTCTTTTTCTTGGAGTGGCACGTTTTAGCAGGTGTTGGGGAGACATTGAAGGCCCTTTAAGTTGTTTAAAGGCAACATTGAATTACCTCCCAACAAACCAGAATATTGGACTCGCTGCTCAAAATAAAAGATTCAAATCCTCTCTTCCCAACCCAAAAAAAAAAAAAAAGGGAAATGAAACTCCTTTGACGAGAACAAGATACATACCATTGCATGTTATGACTGGAAGATATGGAAGATATCTGCACATATGTTTGTATATATATATATATATATATATGGAAAAAAGAGTCAAAACAAGTTCTAAGATGTATACATATATCAATATGAGAGAAAAGTGTAAGATAGCATCCAGCTGATTGAAGCTGGCAAGGCTTAGGACAGATGAAGATCGCAAGTACTACAACTTCATTAACTGATCCGTTCATACTTTCTCACTATATACACTTAACAGGTAGTACTGCCCCATAAAGACTTCAACTTTAGATTACATGATTACATCTGTCTGGAAGCAATAGCTCCTTACATACTTTTCACTTTCAGAAAGCAATACAGTTACAAAGAAGGAAATCATACCTTCTAACATAAGAAAGCAAGGCAAACATCCAGAATCCGGTGCAAAGGGCACAATATTGACGATTAAAATCCCCACCGTCAATGATCGTCACGATGAGTAGGCATGCACCAAATTATAAAGATGTTTGATATTCAATGATACCAGATTAAGTTGTTGGGCTTCCCTGATTTCTATCAAATGAAAAGAAACTTCCAAAGACTAAAAGATCTCATATACTATTGAGTTATATGACTGCAATGTAACTAAACAAACACTCACAGATATAACTTCCTGCAGAGACACGTAACCTATAATGCTGTATTGCACATTATCATGGCCCCAAACGGTAAGGACCATCACCCATGTAGTGACCATCCATATATAGAGCTGCATTCTGTGGATGCAGACCATCCATCACCATGAATTGCATGTCTTCAGAAGGTTTCCAGTGACGCTTCCTTTGATTTATGAACCAATTATTAATTTGTTTCTGGTCCAAACCAGTTGATTCAGCCAATGCCACCTTCTCTGTCTCCTATGGGATTAACACTGGGATTTTTAGCACGCCAAGAAAAAACTAAAAAAATAAAGTGGAAATTCCAATAGCATAACAATTTATTGCGGGTAGTAGAAAGACAAGAATTTGGCTTAAATGAGGATATACAGATGCATACCGAAGGGTATGGCCATTTATAGTGCAACTCCCACCAACTAAGCAGCTTCTGTCTAGCTTCTTTGGGTAGTTTCCCTTTCTTCTTTTTCTTGGAGAGTTCTTGCTTGAGACTACTTAAGTAACCACTATATTTCCTCAATAGGTGGTTCTTCAGCTCTCGATCTTCAGCACGTGGATCAATTTCAGGTAGTTCGGTTTCTCCACCACTGTTGTCTTGATCTTCCTCAGATGAACCAACTCCTTCACACTTCTCATCTGTTCAATGTTTAATAGGAAAGTGCATTTGACTTAAAAATAAGCACTTGACTAGACCGAATAGTGCAGGGAATTTTCATAACAACAATATTCTGTCCGATTATAACTATCTTGACAAACATAATCATCGGATTCAAGAATCAATGCAATATATACAGTGCACATAATTTTTTCATCAATATTCCTTTGCAATTACAACTATCTTCTAAAACATTATCATCGGATTCACAAAATCAGTTGCAATATATACTATGTATTAGATATTTGATTTAAGCAGCTGAGACTTCAAATCAAAAGGACACTAAAATTTTATTAAACAATAATAGGTAATCACTACCCATATCAACTGGTCTTCAACAATTTGAATTTCTTCAAAGAAGTCTAAAACTATTTCTCATAAATAAATTCCATTAGTTAACATTTTATGGCTTCTTTTATTTCATCTTCCTAGATTTTTCAGTTAAGGAAGTGACCAATTCAAACAGAAGTCCTCACAAAGATATATAGCAATAAGAGTGATGGCACATGCATGTAATTCAACTGTTGCTCAATTTAGGTAGGGGTATAAACGAACCAAAAGTTAACGAACATGGCTATATTCGTGATCTGTTCATTTGTTAAGGTTAATAAACGAACATAAACTGCACATATTCACAAAGTATTCATCAAACTTTCTATTAGTTTTCACAAACAAACCAAATATGACCGAATTTTGCTACGTTCAGGATTTATTTGTTTAATTAATAAAAACATTAAAATGTTGTTCGCATCGTTTTAAGCTTAAACGGATATAAATAAACAAAAACCAAACATATTCACGAACTGTTCTTCAACTGTTTGTTTACACCCCTAAATTTACGCAAAGGTCAGGAGCCACAAATAGATAAGTCAGACACTGTAGGATAGTGGAAAGAAAGTAAAGGAGAAAGAGTGAGTTGCCTATTCAATCTAGTGAAAGATGACCAAATAAGAATATAGCTCACCAAACTTATAGTGCAGTGAAACTGTGTCCAAGATAGCTACAACAGTAAACTTAATAAAAAAACCATCCAATATTGCCAAAGAGAAGAAAGAGAAGAAGGTCTATAAGTAGTGTTTGAGAAAGAGCTAGATAACATCAGTATTAACTAAGTCACAACTTTCTTGCAAGGCCACCACCTCATTCTTAAGATGACAAGGTCACCGTTAGAAGCATGCACAGATGCTCCCATTAGCATAAGCAAATTAAAACGACAAGGATCTCATAAATTTAGCCCTTTGAAGGGAATAGCTTGAATCAGAACTTGGGTCATTCGCATCATGTTTGTATCAATAATGAAGGAACCACTCAACTATTCCTTCAACCTTCTTTACTGCCTTTTTTGTAGAATAACATTCTATTCTAATAGCTTTAGTTGGAATACACGACCATCATTGCCTTAGATACAAGGGGAAATTAACTTGTGACTGATTTAATGAGAATGCTGCAGAAGGATCCTATACAGAAATATCAAATTTACCAAAGATTATGGCACTAAACTATCAAATACTCAACTTTTTCAATCATGTGGACACATAAAGATCATAATTCACAAAAAATTTCTGAACTATAATCTATAGCATGAACACATGGAAATCAGTAAAATCATAAGAAAGTGGGATGCTGATGATTGAAAAAATTAGTGCGGTAATGCTCTCAACTTGAATCAAACATGAATTAGTTATGCCGTCGAGTGAGACTTGCAATGATGCACCAACATCTTTGCTACTCTTAACTTCACATCATATATAACTTGTTCAAAATCAAATAATCTTTCACACCATCATCAGCATCCGTACTCAAATTCCAACAGTCAAGGATGTAAAAGGCTCAAAGCTATCATGCAAATATTAGGAAATCCTAGCAGTACTTTCCAATCCATGGTGCATTCAAGGTTTTAAACTTGACAGGCTTCTCAAGTTGGGCCAACAAAGAGTCCGAACAATTTCTACTAGACAAAATCTGGCACTAACAAACATGATTTCAAAACATCATCTTGACAACTAACCTGACAAAAGATTTGCAATTTTCATAATAAAGATTAGCCAAGAAAGTATGCATTTGGAAAGTATGACAAATAGATTAATGCCATTACCTTGAACAAAAAAAAGGACCATAAATTAATACCAACTATCCAGAGAGAAAACAAGGGTATCCATCCAAATTCAGCACAAATTCATACACATATACAATGATCAGCAATTAAAAACAATTCATGGGAAATTGCCAATGCTTCTATAGACTATAATCATAGTTAATTAATACAAATTTTACCATCAAAGGAGATCTCTTCTGCACCACTCTTAGCGGGATTTTCTCTCACCAAAATCAGTGCTTTGAATCATTTTTCTGATTCATTTATAAGGCTAAATTTCGAGTGAAACATGCTACAACGACTTGAGCATACTTACCTAGAAATCATCAGAATCCTCCCACCCTTCCCCCAAAGACAAACAAATGCTAAAAAGAAAATTCTGCCTAAGTTTCATACTAGCTAGTAACGAAGCTGGTTTTTAATTAATATTGCTTCTATCGTTTAGGCAGCTTTAGAAAATTAGAAATAAAAATATATAAAAACCTCAACTGTAAGTGACAAACCCCCCCCCCCAAAAAAAGAAATGCTGTTTTTCTGCCAAATCCGTACAGTCTACATAGGGTAGCACTGATATGAACAGCATCCTATGTTCTCCAATTTTCCTAACCTTTATATAATTTTATTTCTCAGAAAATAAAAACACAGCTATTGTTTTAAACGAAGAACAACTCGGGAAAAGACGACAACAATGATACCATTCGTCGCCTGGAGGTATATATTTATGTGCAAAACCCCAGGGAAACAGAATCAGATTTAGCAGAACTAAATAGAATACAGTATCCAGATTTTGGGAAGAAAAAACAAACACTAAAACAAGGAATGGCTTTGTCAGAGATCATTGAAAAGCTAACCCCATCAGAGAAAAGCCAACGTCTGATTTTTATTATATATAGCCAGCAATAGTATAAAGCCATAAACCCAAGTGCATATAGATATTGCAATCAATTTATTACTATAGAGTCGTGATTATGTAGGGTTTGCCAAGCTAAATAAATACATAGAGCATACTTTTTCTTCACTGTTGGGTCTTCTTCTCCGTTTTTATGGATCTAATTTTTATGGGCTTTTTTTCTTCTTTAGTATTGGAAGACGTGATTTGGGTCAAAGTTTTTTTATTTTTTTTCCTTCACTGGGAAAGAGAAGCAATGGCAAATGAATGAATGAGAGAGACATAGCTACGCTCGGTTCTACAATTTCCAAAGGAAGCCTGGCAACTTAGACTAACAGTGCGACAGTACAAATTACAAAGGCACAATTAATCCCATCTCTGCAACGTCGATAAAATTTTTGTTCTATTCTTCTGTTTCCTTTTCCAGGCTAGGCATTTTAGGCAAAGGAAAGCAAAGCGCATAAACGTTATCATCTTCAGGAATGTGAATATATACAAAAGCGTGCGCGGATAGTAGGAAAGAGAAAGAAAGGTACCAGAATTGAAGATCCGCACGGGACCATTGCTGAGCATGTTAAGTTGAGCCTCGATCCTCCGCATGAAATCCAATGCTTCTTGTATTGGCCTTGTTAGTTCCTCTCGATATTTCACCAACATGTCATAATAAGCTTCCTGGGTTTGTGGATCCACAATATTTTTTGAGTTAGAAAAAAGTACTGAATGGAACAAGGCGTTTGTCACTAAACCCCAAAAGTAATCAGAAGCCAAAGAAGAAGGTTCATGTGAAACAAAGGACCAAGATTTGAGTAGGGTAAAGAGAAACAAAATCACCATAAACTGATCGAGTTCCGGGTCTTTGGAGTTGTCTCTCGATGTCACTGAAGATCGCTGCCTTGCCTCGAACTCTTGTCGAGCAGCTGCTAGCCGGTCTACTACTTCAGGCGGAGCTCCAACCTATATGAAATATAGTATAAAAGATTGCGGTGAGAGAGAGAAAGGGTCAATGATTTAATCGAATTCTCTCGAGTTTGAAGCAAGTTTTGTCTTCATCCAATATACTTTTGTGGTGACTCACCTTTTGGCAATCCATGTAAGCTTCCAAGAGGCTAGAGTACTGAGGATGAGCAATGATCTTGGCTTTGATAGCTTCTACTTCACTGGAGCTTTCATTCCCTTCTTGTTGGTGATGAATTGCTTGATGCCCTCTCAACAAAGGGTACTGAAATTTCTGGCCATGTTGTGAAGTACTAGCTTCAGTTTTCACAATTGGGTGTGCCTCGGATTGATAGCACTCGCTTGATTGAAGATGGAAGGAAGTTAAAGGCATCTGGGTCTGCTGATTAGTCACGTTAGAGCCACTACTTGCTCTCCCATATGGAGAAGAATTTGGTGCGAGAACTGGAGATGCGTACAAGAAATTTCCCCTCGGGTTACCATTCTCGTTTAGCTGATTATATTCTTCCATGATTTTTATTTGTTTTTTGAACAAAACCAAGTGAGCCAAACTAGCAAAAAAAATTCAGACAAAGAAAACGTAAAACCCTAAAGAACGAAGTAGCGTATGGCAATAGAAACCCTAAAGAGTATAGGCTAAGATACCTACTGATCATTTACTGCAAAAAGTCTACCATTTTCACATCAAATGACTAGACTTGAACTTTGGATTAATAAGGGAAGAACATCGAAATTCTTTACAGTTTTATGTCAAGGAGGCCTTGAAGTGAAAATTGCACCAAGACTTGCACATGTTAAGAGAAGATCAACAAAAATAGCCAAAAAAATTCCGAAAAACCAAGATATAAACTGAGAATTTTGAAATGATCTGACAAAGGTTGAACGCTAGGAAGGAGAGGAGAGAAAGGGGAAGCTGAAGCCTGAACTGGCAAGCGGACTGCTTAGCTTTGGGTCGTTGACAAGACGTTGTTTGTTGAAAGAAAAAGAAATATTTGAAAATTAATAAAGAGAAAGAAGGCCAAGAGATAAGGCAATTTGGATTTGTAGATTTTTCTTCCTTTGCTTTCTCTCTCTTTCCCTCTCTCCTTTATAGTAAATTTATTATTTGCACTTCCTCCTCGTGGACGAACCATATTTTTTTCTCTGATATTTTAGTTGCTTTTTGGGTTTCTCCTTAGCCATCCCTTCCTTTCTTGCTTGTTCTTAGACTGAAAGGATTGAACAAAAATTTAGTATTCATTAATGTCTAAAAATTTTTGTAGTATTGAATTTTTTACGTAAAGAAACATGTTATTTAATTTTTCAGATCAAACAATCATAATTTTGAATTTTATTTTTTAAAATATTATATTGAATTAAAATTTTAAAATAAATGTTTTGAAATAATGATTAAAATTATATTAATTTGACTACAAAAATCTATGAAAAAATAATTGTTTTGAAACGAATGGGATTACATCAATCATTCAATCAATCAGATTGGTTTTGTCTTTAAAATAAAAATTTTAAACTATATTTTAATCCATTGATTTTTATACTATAGTAGTAATAATTTTATTTGGATGTTATCATTTTGGGTAGAATTTTTGGAATAGAAACGGTAAAATTGAACCTAAAATATAGGCTTTGCATATAATTTTATGGATCATAACAGGTATGATTGAAGTAGGTTTTTTTTTAATTTGATTTAATTATATATAATATTTAAATTTGATTTGATTTAATTTTTAAGTTTTTTATATTTGAATTTGATTTGATATGATATTATATAAAATTATATTTGATTCGATTTAAATTTAATAAAATATCTTTTTAAAATTATAAAATATTATTTTTTTAACTTAAAATTATATATAATTAATTAATTAAAAAATAATTTATATATTAAATCGGATTAAATTTACTTAAAATTTTATTTTAATTTTTTTTATCATCAAACTTAATCCGATATCTTTTTTTCTTTTTGAAAATTAACTTTAAAAAATTAAATCAAAGTAAAATTTATCAAATACAAATCAATCTGTACGTATATTATATAGAATTCTAAAAGCCCCTTTTAAAAATTTTTAAGGTCGTTAATTTGGCTATACTATTATTTATAGTATTAATAAAACATTTATATATAATATATATAATATTTTTCGAGACCAATTCATCACTTTCCTTTTTCATACTTGTTAATTATTTTTTAAACATTTTTCTAATTTAATGAATTATTTTCTACCGTTAAATTTTTCTTTAAAAAAGGAAAAGATATTTGTTAAATCGATAGATTTGTTTTAGGCCAATTTAAATAGATAGATTCTCTGTTAGTCAATTTGATGATGTTTATCAGCATTTGTCACTTAAACTTTCATCTTTTCGGCATGGAATTATTCTTTTGTCAACATTTTTTTTTTGTGGGGGGTTCTGAGGTGATGCCAAGTTGAGAAGACTAAATGAGCATAAGACTTTAGAACCTCTAACTCAAAAGTTTTAATTAAAGTTCAAGCATTGCCATTGAATTTTCGATTTAGATATATATTAAGGTTATTTATTTATAATTTTTTTAGTATGTGTAATCTCATTAAAAAATAAACTACATTTTCTTATTACTATTTCAAACCCATTGGATATTAGTAAATATAAGATTACTAATTTGTCCATAATTAAATGATTTATATGTAAATTATTAAGTTCTTAATTTTAATAATTATATTTCATACTGTTTTTCTTGGCCTCTTTTCTTTTCCCTTTCTAATGCTGTCTCCTAGAGAGTACAAAATCACCATTATAAAAACAAATCCTTTAAGAATGATATATGTAGGGCACTTGATGTTTCACTTATTTCCCTACTCGGAGAGTTATATTATATCAATAGGACAAATCAACAAATAAAATTATATATTATGAAGAAAATTTTCTTTAATTCCTTATTATTATAATATTAATATGCTAACAAATCTATCATGCTTTATGTCCACTAAATGTGGAACAATGCAATATGTCATTTTGTTTTTGGCAACCCATTTTTATATTCCATAAGTGGGTTAGCATTGGAACAATTACTTCTCTTTCAAGTATCATCCACTCAACCACCATATAAACATACCTAATAAAGCAGTATGTATTTCTATTTATGGCTTCCAAATCCAATAATTCATCATATTCATTTTTTATAACTGAATACAAAAAGCCAAAAACAAGATAGAATATATCTTATATTAATTTAATATCATGAACCTATTTTAATCATAGCAATTGCATCATGCATCCACCTCAAAACCTTTTTCCCAACCACCAAAGTGTGTATTAAGAACACAAATTCTTGAAAAAAAAAGTATATGTTTTTTATATTAATAATGTGACTTCATGGCCTGGTTTGTGCAAGCATAGAAGGGCATGTGGTAGCATTGAAGAAGAAGATTAGAAGGAGAGATGGAAGATCCGTATATTTTGTTAACTATAAACACTGAAAAAAGAGCCATTGGTTTCAGTCTGACCGAGACTCTACTGTTTTTTATGACCATTTGGCAGCAAAGCACGTGTGATTTGAGGTATGGAACATAAACCCAGAGAGCAAAAACGAGGGAAAAAAAAGCTCCTGGCCCTAAAAGAGCTTTGTCTAAGTGGCCTGGCCTCCTTTGGCTCTCTGTATCGAGGAAATAGCTGGCGGCGACGCCCATTAATGCTCCCTCCCCATCCATCTATCTCTCCGTTTCAACAAAACTTATTATACATTCAACATTGAAATACATAATAATGATATATATTTTTTAATTCCACTTACTATACTCTCTGACATTACAAATATAAAAGGAGTTAGAGAGACAAAGAGAGACCCACAGGCTATAACACAGCCTCCCCCTAGCGAGAGTCGCGCGCTATAGTGGGGGGGCCAAAATGTTGAAGAGCGCTGTCGATGGTTCTGGTTTGCTTTGCCTTGCTTTGCTTGCGCTTTCTTTTTGGTTTTTTTAATATGCATAGAACCTTTCTGAAGAGGATTGGACATGTCTAAGCTCGAACAGAAACCTTGCAGGGAAAAGGGTGGTGCTAGTGAAGTAGGCAGGTACCCGATATTCATTTGTCATTCACTGAATTCAGTCACGGTGCTGTTCCTCGCCTCTTCCCTATGCACTATTCTCAAATAGTGTATGCACTCACTCGGCTGCCAATGCACACCAAAATTCCTCGACTAGTTTCAAGTTCTTTCAATAATGATCATTGCAAGTTACCCTGAGTTTCTTCTTATTTTATTGGCATCAACTTTTCCATCATCAAATTCGGCTACATTTTTTTCTAATAGGAAGTAAATTGTGCTAAGAAAAGATTCAAATAATTTGGATGAGGGTTTGTCATGGATTAGTTATGGCGAGTTTGGAATCAATTGCACCTTCAATGGGAATTCAGTTATAATGAAAAGCTGTATCTATGACAATCTTTAAAACCAAATGGAATTGTGATGTGGTGCAATTTATATTGATTATTTACATTTTTTAATTTTTTTTTTAATTATTTGATTTCAAAATGATAAAAATAATTTTTTATTTAATACGAAAATAAATTTATTATATTAATAAATTAATAAATTTTTTTATATAACAAATAATAAATATTTTTTATTATTTATTAATTAAACTAATATTTTATATAAAAATATTTTTTAATTATTTATTAATTTTATAAATGTTAAATAATTATAAAATTTTTATTAATCAACATCTTTAATAATTATTTTTTTACTTTATTTAATTTATATTATTGCTATTATTATTTATTTAAATATATATTTTATCATTATTTTAATTTAATTATTATAATAATTAATTTCATATTTATCGTTACTTTTAATTTTACAAAAACTTATCCTAATGTCCATCCAAACGTAACTTTAGTCTAATCAGTTTTCATGGTAATTCTGCAAGTTGCTTCTCATTTTGATGACTTTTGGCTGAAGACTATTGATCAATTATCTTCATTTTTATATACTTACAACTATTACAGGGTGGAGGGTTTTGAGTTCATCCTCTACAGTTGAGTTGTCTATTATTGGTGCTAACCTTTGGCCAGTCAAATCATCATTGTCAATCATCATCTGAATGAGCTGTTCCTGTCATATCAGCCAGTAACAAGTTAGTGCAAGGAAAAAAATCCATGGACCATAACACTAGTGTTCTAAATTTTAAAAAAGAATTGTGGTAAACGGTGAACCATTTAAAATTGTTAAAATGTTTGATCTTTACATAACATTTTGTTAATAAAATAGTCAAAAAGATCGTTAATTTTACATATATATATATATATATTGATAAAGTGAAGTGACACATCAACCTCCAATATTTCTGAGAGATATCATTGCGAAAACATTAATTTTGAGCTTTAGAGAGAGAGATAGCTTTGAATTAACATTCCTTGGTTTGCCTCCGGAAATCAAGCAAAAAAGGCAAATGTTTAATTGAAAATATTGTTGCCATGGCAATCTTGAAAGAGAGTGACACAACTTCCGGGGTTGAAAAAAAAGAAATGCATGTCCCATTGGCATTTTGATAACTAAAGGTTGGTGAAAGGCCAAACTACAAAGGCAGCTGCTAGCCTGCAACAGCTTGTTTTTCCCCTTTGTGAAGACATAAAAAAGCACTTTGGGTTGCCAATAATCTATTTATAATTAACATTTTTTTCATTATTAATCTAATAAATAGTAACCAAGTTCCTAACAATTTTGAATAATTTGTGTAGAATTGCATATCAAATCACATACATAATCATTAATTTAAGATGAAGGAAGTTGTTAATAATCTTAAAATCGACAGGGAAATGACTGAAACATGTAATTAGCAAATAATTATGGGAAGCTTATCTTTTAAGAGATCCTCAATGACAAGAATCCAAGGTGATAACATTTGTCATTTGATTTTTTTTTTTAATTTATTTTGTGATTCCATTTAGACAAAGTTTAAATTGTCTCACGTGGAATCATATGGAACACATATACTTAGATTTGATTTGGTAGGTATAGGTAAATAGGATCATTAATTTTTGTCTTTGATCCTCCTTCCAGCTGCTTAGCATTTAACTTAATATTGGCGACAAAGCTAAGTTAACACAGCAGTCATTT